CATCATGGGAAAGCTTCCTTTTCTGCAAAGCAACATGACTATGCCTACTGAATATGATATTTGAGACAAATTTTCAAGAGAATTTATAGCGACTCAGATATTGTAAGTTGAATGAGCCTTGACCAGGACAAAGCATTTGAGTGAATCCACCTGAAAGCCAGAGGCTCATTTGGGAGTCAAGAAGAACGGAGGAAAAGCTCTGGTGACTGTCATAAATATGCACTAAAGCTTCCTGTGGAATGTAGTGATTGTCCATACAAGCCACAGTTAAGAGGTTAGAGGGCCTGTGAATCTCAGGTTTAGAACCCGAGTGACTGAATTAAGGCAGCATAGGGACATATCGACAGAGGATCGTGAAGGATTCCATGTGAATTTGACGTGAGGTATACATGGGAATCTCTAGTAAGGTCAGTGAGGTACTCCAAGCTGAAGATAACCTTAGAGATTCCTAGTCATATTTTACACATTAAAAAGTAGAGGAAGCTGTAAGTTCAACTCAGGAAGACAAAAAAAACAAACAAAGCAAAACCAAAAAGAAAACACAGAATTTTAAAAGAGGAGGACCCACACTGAAACCCTGGGGCTTTTAAAATTTATAATGTGAAGGTCAAAAGTCCCAAACAGAAAGGAGGGAAGATAAGGGTATCATTGTGAGAGAGAGGACAAGGCAGAGCAAGGAGGAGGGTTAGAGGCAGTATAAATGTGCTACTAATATATGATATCCTCAAGAAAAGAATTGGAGTTTATAACAGGTCTTTCAAAAAATGATGGTTGGACTACTTGATACCAGTATATCAGGAAATTAATTTGACCACCTCTATAAACCTTGAAAAATTGACTCTAAATATATTAGAGAGAAAACTCTGTGGTATTGTGTATCAAAACCAGGTCCTCTCACATTCTAGGCAAGCACTCTACCACTAAGCTACATCCCTATTTGTATTTTATTTAGAAACAGAGTCTTGCTATGTTTGCCCCAGTTTGTTTCAAATTCCCGATCATCCTGTCCCAGTTTTTTGACTAGCTATGATTAAAGACCTTGACACCATAAGTAGTTAAGCATATCTTTTAGAGATAAAAGATCACAATACTCAAAAAAGCACAAATATAACTGTTATGAAATCATACTAGGACACTAGTGATATGCTAGATATCATCCAATTAGGAACCTGGCAGAGCAGGAAGGGCATACACATGTAATCACAGCACTTGATCACTTGGACGATCAGGAGTTCAAGGTCATCCTTGACCATGTGAGTCTGAGATCACCCAGGATCTGTGAGGGTTAAAAGAAAAAGAAAAAAAAAAAAAAAAGAAGAACCCATGAGCTTCAAATGGAGCCATCTGAAATCTATGCATTGAAAAACTTGCACATGTCTACAGGGATCTGTGCATCTGCCCACACAGAACTTTTACAACTCAAAGTAGTACTCATGTAAGCCAACTGGTTAAAGCTATGAATAAGAACATCTTGAAAATGATGCATGAATGGCCAGTCATAGTGGCATACACCTTTAACCTTAACACCCAAGAGGCAGAGGTAGGCAGAACTCTGTGAGGTTGAGGCCAGCCTGGTCTACATAGTGAGTTCCAGGCCAGCTAGGGCTATACAAACAGTGTACACAAACACGGTCTCCAAAAACAGTATAAACATAATGAAAGATGCTTACTGTGGGCAATAACTCACCATGACACATCCTCACACCCGCTAGGGCATCTATAATAATAACAAAAGTGTGAATATAATTTTTGTCAAGGAAGTGGAGGAATTGATAACTTCATGTATAATTTCTATCAAAGTAAAATGGTATACTATTTTGGAAAACAGTTTGACAGTTCCTCAAAATATTTAACATAGGATTACCTGATCACCCAGGAATATATCCAGAATAACTGAAAATCAATGTTTACACAGAAAACTTTATATCAATTTTGATAGAATTATTCATAATAGATAAAACAGGAAAAAAGAGTGGCTGGAGAGATGGCTCAGTGGTTAAGAACACTTGCTGTTCTTCCAGAGGACCTGGGTTTGATTCCCAGTACCCACATGGTGGCTAACAACTGTTTGTAACCATAGTTCCAGGGGATCCGACACTCTCTTCTGGCCTCTGCATGGCATTGCATGCATGTGGTATACTTACATACATGCAGGCAAAACACTCATGCACATGAAGTCAAAATAATACATAAAATATTTAAAGAAACAGGAAAAGCTTAATGTTTGTCATTTAGTGAAATAGCAAACAAAATGTGGTATATCTCTTCAGTGAAACATTATTCATCAATACAAAGGAATGAGTTAATGATAGTTCCATGGCATGAATGAATGTGGAAATATGTTGTAAGTGTGCAAAGGAAAAATCACACAAGACTCAGTAGTGCTGGCCAGTCAATCTGGGTAAAGAATGTGGTGATTTATAGGGAGAGAAATTAAATTAGCGTTTACCCAGATGGGGAGAACAGATGGGGGAGGGGTCTTGTGGGAATTCTAATGAGTAGATTTTGTGAATGAAAAGTGTTCTAGAATTTTAGAGTGGTGGTGATTTTGTGAAGTAATGACTGTATTTACAACTCTGAATTACACATTTTACAGAGATCAAATATCTCATTCCTGAACTCTGTCTCAATAAAGCAACCAACACAGTGGCCTTCGTTCTCCAATCCCAGCTCTTCCTGGAGCCACGAGCTGCAGGAAGTGGTTGCACATCCTGTTCTGGGCTCAGAAGAGTTTCTATGAAGCACTTCTCTCAAGGCTAGTGTTGGGACTGAGCATAGGACAGGAAGGAGGCCACAGGCAGGTGAAGCTTTTCCCCATCACTGCATCTCCAGAAACTGTATGCTGCTCTCAGAAACCAGAAAACCTGCTGTAGACCTGCATGTTCCGGCTGGGGTGTGGAGAGCCTGTCATAGAGACTCACACTTCACAGTCCCTGAGAAGATCTTCTGTTAAGAAGCATGTCTGAATTTAAATCTAGAATAGTGCTTCGAACTTCTAAGCCCACAGGAGCTCCCCAAATCTCAAGAACACCTTCAGAGAGGCGTTCCCTGATGCTCTCCTGCCCTTCAAAGCTAAGGCTTCTTCTGTTGAGGTTTGCCTGCAGAAAGTTCACCAAGGCCAGCACACATGGCTCTCAATGTGTATGGAACTCAGTAGGGTTCTGAGAACCTGAGAATCCAGTGTGGAACTCAGTAGGGTTCTGAGACCATCCAAAGTTCACTCTTACTCATCACCTTCTAATAGACAACCTGAAGTCCTTCCATTTCTGGTTCATGTTGCATGTCTAGTAAAATGTAATAACATGTATATTAGCTAAATTGTTTTCATATGATGGAATAAAACTATGACCCTTAAGAAAGCATCCATTTTCCATGATGTAGAAGGAGTCTGAATGACAGCTCCTTAACAGAAACTACCCCGTGACATCAAGTCAGGTACTTGACCTCTCTTCATCAGCCAACTGCAGAAGAGGAAACCAATAGAAATAACCACACCAGGTACACGTGATAAAGAAGTTAAAATGATTAACACAAACTTGGTTTATAAGCAGAAATACATTCTTCAAACGAGAGTTATTTCCTGGTATACACATTATTTATTATTATCAAATAGTGGTATGTCTTTGCTGAGCATGCAACTTAGATTTTCACCTCTACAGTGGGTAGAACAGCACTCACAGGACTGAGGCAGGAAGATGGCTGCAATTTTGAGGCCTGCCTAGGCTTTATATCAGAAACCAGAGTGCCCCTTTGCTTTTGCTTTGGTTTGTGTTTGCTTGTTTTCAGCAGTCAGGGGTCTAGGTTAGCACAAGGCTGCTTTTCCTTCTAAAAGGCAAGCAATTCAGAAGGGAATTGGTTTGTGTCTAACTCATATAACTGTTGTGGATCTTAATCCTGCCAGACTGGCTGACATTCACTGCAAACATTCACATTCGTTTTTAATGCTCCGGGTTCTTAGCGTATGAATGACTTTGTGTTTAACCTCATTCAGAACAAAAATGAACTAGTAAAATGGGTTACATGGCATTTCCACCCTCTTTCAAACCTGGTGACAAATGCATTGTCTAAACTTTACACATAAATGGCTTGCCTGTACAGAGCACAGGACTTGACCTGAACAGTCTGGCAGCTCCAGACAGCTGCTCACCTTCATCCTATGGGTCACTGCCTGAGTCTTTAGCACAGACCAACCTCATGCTAAACATTGGGTTGAGCCAGGTGTGATGCCCATGGCAGCAGCAGGGTTTCCTTGGGACTTAGAAGTTCTTTGCTTAGAAAACAAAAGTCCTGTCCATATCTGGAGAGTAAATTCTATAATTTCTACTGTAGTACAATGACTGGACAGCAATGGAAAAATATGTCTTCTCTCCTCTCCTCTCCTCTCTCTCTCTCTCAATGCATAAAGACCCTAGAGTTCAGTATCTCTACAGATGAACTCAGTCTTTCTCCTAGAACTGCTTTTACAAAATGGTAGTTCGCATTAAAGTTGTGCTATTTCCCTTTTCTAATTAAATTTCCTAAATAAAGCTCATTAACTATTGGATGCTTCGTGTAAAACACTTGGAAACTACAGGAAACAGCGGCAGTGGGGTCCTCTGGCTCCGGACCGCACCCTTGCGCTCCTGACCGCTCGCATTCTGACGCACTTCTCCAGGCTCCAGGACTGAGGCGTCTCACCTGAGCGAGAGGAGCCCCGCAGGTGCGGGAAGTTGAGCCCAGCTGCGGAGCCTTGTGCGGCCGGCAGGTGCAGAGAGCGGGGTCGGAGGACCAGACCTCGGAACCCGGGGCAGTGGACTTCGGGCGGCCCCAGACCCCCTCCGGTGGAGACCCTCGAAGCAGCATCGGGGTGCGGCAGCCTCGGTCGGGCTCTCGGCTGCGCCGCTCGGTCCGCAGCAGGCAAGCCGAGCCGGTACGCATTTCATCCAGCAGCCTCCGAAGGTCCCCTCCGTGCGTTCCTGAACGCGGTGCGAGCGGGGGAGACACACCTGCTCCGGACCCCGAGTCTCTGTCCTCCCAGGCACAGCGCCTCTCCGCCCGGAGGCGGCAGTTCAGCCCGGAGGGCGAGGTGCTCCCCGCGTCCTCCCCGCGTCCGCCCTCCGCTCGCCTGCTCAGTCCCAGCGGACGAGGTCGGCGTAGTGCGCCGAGGGGCCGAGCGGGCGCAGCCGGAGCCCGACCCGGTCCCTCCCTCCGTCTGGAGGCGACACCCGCCCTCTGCGCCCGAGCGCGGTGGACCATCGGGTGACATCACCGCTGACATACTCCGGCTACGGACCCTGCGTTGGCGAAGCCTCCGTCCGTGTGCCGGGCTCCGTCGCCGCCGGAGAGGGCTTCTGGCTTCCCAGGAGCAGAGACCGGACCGGGGGAGGCGGGAGAGCCGGGGCGAGCGAAAGGGACCCGGCGGGCGGCGACATGAGATTCGGTGCCGCACACTACCTGCTGCCCCTCTTACCCGCGCTGGTCCTCAGCACCAGGTGAGTCCTGGAGCGCGGGGGCCGCGAGAGAGGGCGCGGCGCGGGGCGCGGGGAGTGGCGCCTCCCCCGAAGCGGGGTGCTAAGTGGTGAGGGCTCAGAATCTTTGGGGAAAAGCAGAATCCTTCCGAGTCTTCCCCAAGCCCCTGGAGAAAGTCTCAGGATTGCTCCCACGAGGGACCAAGAGGTTCCTTCCCCGCTAAGCAAAAAGAAGACATGTTCCCCTGGAGCCCTGTAGTCATGAACAGAAAGCGCGCAGAAATATTGGACAACACAAAGAAGGAGCGAGAAGGGAATGGTCCTGGACCCCGTCTTTACACTAGATCTGTTAGTAGTTGTGGAACTTTTGGCTTCCCTCAGAATGCACCTTCTAAGGCACAGGGAGGACAGGGTGTAGGCTATGCAGGGGGTTGCCAAGAATTCCGCAAAAGTTCCCCGACCCGGCCAGTGGCCTAGGCTGCCTTTCCTGGGTGGGCTTGGTGGCAGGTGTTTCTGTTTGGGTTTGTTTCGCTGAACTACAGAAAAGGAGATAAAAGTTAGAAGACAGGGCACTGAGGCACAGAACCTAGTCCAGTTGGTAACAATTGGGTACTGTGCGCCGTCGCTGGCCGTGGATGGGACTTTAGGCCCAGCACAGAAGAGCTATTTTTAGTGGAGATTTAAAATGCAGTGACTGGGGAGTGTTTTGTGACTGCTGGTATGGATCGAGTCCCAGAGTTGGTGATGGGCTTGCTTTCTTTTCCCACAAGCACAGTACAAGGGTAGCCTGTTCCAGTGCCCAGGACTGAGGTTTTCTGCATGCCCTGGGCATCATCTGGCAGCAAACCCTTTCCCTTGGCCTCCAAGAAATAAAATAACCCACACAGGATGGGAGTTCTTTCAAATTTGGGTGAATGGAAACACTATCTGATGGTGTGTTACAGAGAATCAAGGAGAGATGTAGGACTGCACAGGATTCTGAGCCAGAAAGAATGAAGCAAAACTGTCTCTTAAAGCTCACGTTGATGAGACTGCTGTTTGTGCTTCTACTATGTGTTTCTTTCAGGCTTGTATAACTTTACTTTTGCTGTAGGAACTGTTTCAGTTAGACCCAAGAACTGATGAGTTTGGTCTTCCCTTGCACATAAAACCCAGGTGATTTTCCACACTAAAATAAAACATGAGGTTTATTTGCTACTTCAGTTTATGAGACTCATAATGATTTTAAAGAAAAACACTTAGCTTCCCAGTATCATGGTGACATTCTCTAAACAAGGGGCTCCTCTTCTCTATTATGGTGAGCTCTAATGGGTTAATAAAGCTTATCTTTACATTCCTGCCTTTCATTCTCAGACTGTGTTTTACAATTACTTATGGATCCTTTTAAACAAAGGAAATTCCCAAAGTTTCTGCTTAAGTAGACACCAGTCAACACATTCATTTAACAGTAAACCTTTGAGTAATGGAAATCCAACCTAGAATGAGATATGAGAATGAAAATTGCTAGAATTCCCGTAGTCTGTGTGTTTTTTATACTCACTGTAATTCAAATGGCAGAGCTAGCTCTAGAATCTCCATCCTCTAAAGTTTAGTGTCAGTTACACTACACTAAACTACACTAATATGCTCAAGATCAACTTTCTCTTGTAAAAGTCGCTACAGAGAATTTTTTAAAATTTATTACATAGTTTTGAAGTATTCTGAGTTTGCTATAATAGGAAAATTCTGCAGGATTGGTTGTGCTGAAACTGTGCCAGGTATTTAAATTTAAAGAAAATCCATGATGAATTTAACAAGTGAAATTTCTGTAATTAGTAATCCATTCATATGGTTGCTCTAGGCCAATTCATTTCACTAGATCCTCAGATTGCCTTCTGAAGGGGAACAAATTTGAAAATGAGTGTGATACTGTCAATATGTCACTCAGCAAGAAGAGAATGTGTTTTGAAGAACTTAACAGAAGGCCATTCTCTTTGCAAGATTTAACAAGTCCCATAGTCCTATGGCAAGAGTAAAGGTTAAAATCCAAACTGCAAAGCTCTGTGAGGACATTTGCATTTGTGAGATGGGATTACTGTCCTGCTGAGCCATGGCCACCTGGGACAGTGGGTTTTTTAGACAAAGACTTCTGTTGACTTAGTCCTCCTTTATAAGAGGCATCTCGCAGGCTTGCACAGTGGAGGTGTTGACTGTGTCCACAGGAGGTGGCAACTGTCACTTATCTTTGACTGTAAACTTCCTTCAGAAGTGTGGGACATGTGGGACTGAAAGCCTTGATACAAAGCTGAGTTTGTTCCCTCATCTTTCTTTGAATGTAGCCCCTCAACACATTCTTCTTTGCACTAGGCCTAAAGTTCATTTGTGGAAGAGTAGAGAGCTTTGAAATCAGTGCTGCAGTTAGAAGATGGGCACTTTATAACAGTGTTGTGGCTCTAGGGCTGGTGATGTGAAGATATGCCTTTGAACTCAGAAGTAGTTTGTAGCTCTCTGCTCTGTTTGCTCTTCCTGCCCACTCTTTCTATTGCAACTCAAGACACGGGACAAAACAACGTCTTATGATGCCATCAGTATGAGCAATATCAACCCAACTTGGACTTTGACCTCAAAGAACCTGAAGGTTCAAATTTTAAAACTGGCATTTTCCTGATTTGCTAGTTGGACCCCATAGGGTCAAAAGAACTGATTAATTTCCTGGCATGTTGTTTTTCTTGTTTAGAAAGCACATATAAATTCAAAAATACAGTCGAACTAATGATTTGAAAATGTAGCTATTACAAAGATCCATTCAACTTGTGCACAAATGCTGGTGGCCTAAGCACACAAAAGCATGTGCTGGATGAATGGCTGCAGGGCAGAATGGCTGTCCTTTCCACACAGCCTCCTCCTGCAGGAGACTGAACTGCTGTTCCAAGGCAACACCTACACTTCAGAAGGAAGTGGTTTAGGAGCTGAAAGGAAGGTGGAGTGAGCTGTTCTTCAGAAGTCCTTGGTGAAAGGAACCCATGGAGTGCTGGAGAGAGTTTCTCTTTAACTGCTAGACCTGGGTTCCTTTATGCTGTGTGCCAGCTCTTGATGCCTTTGGAATGTGAACTTTTAAATGACTTGAGATGGAGCAAGGATCAGCAGGGGGGTGAAGGTCTACCAACTCTTGACGTTGTCTGTCAAGCCACAATTTGAGCAGATGGGGGGTTATTGTCCTCCCAACAGGAGTCACCTGTGAGGTCTCCTCTGGGCCCTTGATCAGCAGCTGCACCACATACATCCTTGAGCATCTATGTTTAGCACTTAGGATGTCCCAGGCGCCCATCTGTCCTGTGCCTTACTCTAAACTCAGGATCAAGCTGATATTCCAGCCAAAAGAAGAGAGGAGAATACAACAAACTTTCATGCGCCCAAAAGAGGAAATGCGTATGTGAGTCTGATGTACACACTTTTGTGTCTTACCACATGTTTGTTAGTTCGTGATAAGACTCACCATTCTCTGTAAATGGATCAGAGAATCATTTTAAAAAGAACATGTGAAACAGAACGTGTTTTCACTTCTAAAGCTGCAGTTCTGGCCCTAAGTATGTATTTCCAGTAGCACTCTCTAAAAGGATTTACTTGGACAATCTGTGGTTCACATTTTCTCTGAGTGGTGGTAGGAATTAGTTTAAACACTTGTGTGCTGACTGTGCAGTTGTCATAAAGCAAACTCCACGTAACTGAAAAAGATGAACTTGACCTTCCAACCAGGAAGCAAAGAGTCTGAGAAGCTGCTGGGGAGATGGGATGTAGCATTTTCTCCTGTGTGCTTTGTGACCTTGTCATGTGTTCGCATGTGTGTGTGTGTGTGTGTGTGTGTGTGTGTGTAACTGTTTCTGAATAATTTTTAAAAGATTTGTTTAAAACAGATTAATAGATTGGACTCAGTCTTATAACCTGATAAACAGGTAATATTTAAATTTATGATTTCTTCTTTTGGAAGTTATAAAAACAGAAAATAGATGAACTGATATTCATTCCTTTAGTATTTTCTGTGATGTCCTCATTATCACAAAATGAACATGTTGGCAGTCATTCTGAGCTTGAGGCATGTGGCCAATAAGATAGATTAGTTAGAATTATACATTTCCTAACATGCACACAATTTATTATACATTACACAAAACCGGATAAATGACAACTATAGTTGTAGATAAAGTTTTGAGGGAGAATTAGAAAACAGTAAGTTACACCAATTCAGAAATATCTGTAGTTACCCTGCTTCACAGTGGCAGCCAGATTGGGGGTAGGGGTTGTGTTCACGTTCAACATCACAGAACACTTGGCCCTGGTAAGACTTTAGATCAATTGTTTATCCTGCAGGTTTTTCATGTAGGGAATAGTATTAATCACAAAACTTACCCCACCAAGTTGTTTTAAAAACTAAGCTAATTCAGGAGACAAGTTCAGAGGCCAACAAAATACTCTTTGAAGCTATTACCAAAAGGTTATAAACATTTTCATGAGATTTTGTATATTGACATATGAAATGAAGTAAAACCTGAATGAAAATAAATTCAATGGCATCAAGTTTGTAAGAAACCTGTCATCATTCAAAAGAAAGAAAGCTGGGCAGAGAGGAGGGTAAAGGTGGTAAAGGTGGTGGTCAGCCAGCCACCCGTCCTCAATGTTTTCTGATGACTAAGCTGTTGGGACAGTTTCATATACTCTGCTAGACATTAAGAAAATGAGATGAATTTACTTTAATCACGTAGACTGTGATTTAGCACTAAAGTGTATATTTAGCTACTTGCGTTCCTGTTGAAATGTAATTACATTTGCACTGTATAAATCATAATATCAAATCAAAGTCATGAGCACTGGTGTCAGTGAGCACCTAAAATAGGCTGTTTCTTCGCCTAACAGGTTGATGGTTTCAAATTTTGACTTTATTTTCTATTTATCCATTGGTTTCATCATCTATCAGCAGTTTCAAAAATTCATAAGGATTCAGAAAAATCAAGGACAGAAAAATAAAATATTGAGACCTGTTTTCTGTT